TTGTACTTAACAGAGACAATAATTGCTTGTATTGTATAGAACAATAAATTATGGATAGTATAATATATACAGGTTATCTTCTGTTTATACATCAGGTGCATGAATGTTTCTGTTAGCATGAAAAATTGGATACAAGTAAACACACATCGATTGGTCTAAAGATTTTACCATCTTCAGTAGTAATAAAAAAACGTAAAATTCATTGTATTGGAGTTTCTTTAAAACTTGGCAAATGATACTCATGTGCTTATTATTAACTAGGCTATAAATAAATGTCAATGATTTCTACTGAAAAGATGTGATCTTTGGTGTTAGCGAAATCAGAAGGGTGATAGAGTAGTTCATTAATGTTTTTGAATGAGAGTTATAAAATATCAGAATTTGTGGAATTTCTATGATGTGGGTTAATGGTGTGAGTATTTTCCTCAATGTAAAACAAGACAGTCTTGAGTTATTTTTTATGTGTTGAGTTATGACTGTGTATTGTTGAAAATTCATGAGTTTGGAGGAAATATTCATTCAATGCTCTATGGTTTTAAATGTTCTATCTCTCATATGTCCATGAAGCAGTTTCTAGTTTTAATACTTATCTTATTTCTTTGAATTTACCAGTTGGCACTGACTAGTGGTGTGATATGAACTTCGGTCTCCCGTTTATCAGTATAAATAATTAAAGTTTGCGTGCAACTATATAGACCTATGCTATCTAGTGTTAGCTTCAAAGGATTTGCCAAGGAAATCGCCGACTTATGAATATTTACAATCCGTAAGACTAATTCCTTACGTTTTCGTAATTAGTGTCTTATTTATCTTTCTTTAGAGATGATGAAATAACATCCGGCGTACTGGCGACGTCGTAACTAAGCTATTTGGACTTATATCACACAGCATTTAATAAGCTTTATTTACCATTAAGAGCTGAACAACAGACGATTATTGACTGGTATCACCTCAATTATTTCAGTAAAGATTAGAGATAGGCATTATTAATTGACATTACATAATTTATGTCTAACAAATTATGTTTTATTGTTAATGCACTTGACCCTGTGTCGATATTGAAATAACATGTTAGTGTAAACTATTTTAGCATTAATTAAATTCTTAAATAAGACATTTCTCAAGTATTAATTATTACGTAAACAATTTCTATCGAATAAGTGACTTTTACACATTTATTAAATGTATTGATAAGAAACCAGTAGATTAAAATATACGATCTATTTTATTGTAACTGGAAAAAAAAAAGAATGATTTTGTAAAAATCGGTAAAGTGTAAATAATGGGTGTAGGAATGAAAAAAAAATGGAAGGATTGGGGTGTGTGTGTGGCTGTGGTGGAGGACAGAAATCAATTAATAAGAATGAAATGCAAAATTAAATGAGAATTTCTTTTGATAGATAACTCTACTGAATAAATACAATTTCAACCATTTCTTTATGGTGCTTAAGGACAAATATTGTTATTAAAAAAAGTGATGATGGGTGTATGTGTTTATACGTTGATCTGATATTATGATTTAAGTAGTCTTTATATACATACTTCTTTTCTCAAGATGATAGGGTGTGGTAAAATAATGAGATTTGAATCTATATCTGTAACTCCCCCCCTTCAAAAAATATTGGATTTTTTTTATTACACCCATTTTTTCCTCTTCTATCAAGTAGATTGTTAGTTTTCATGTTATTGTAAATAACAGTTTTCTTTTACTATTATTATTTCTTTTACTTCTAAGCTCAACTAGTCTTCTTATAAAATTAATTAATGTTTGAGATTACATATTTTTCGTAATGTATTTAACCAATAAAATTAAAATGTTCTATTATAACACTTGATATCTAGAATTGAATTGTTAGATTAAACATGAAGATTAAAAGTTTTTTGTTAGCACATTCTATTATAAATCAACATTACTATAAAAATAAGTAGTTTTATTATTTACTAAAGCTAATCCAAAGATCATTCGGATTCATAAGTTTACAGTAACATGGACGTTACAGAGGTGTAAATTATGAATTTACCATTGAATGAGAGGCAAAATACTTTGTATATATTTCAATCGTGTTTGGACGTAACATCATAGTTAGTCGATGTAATACCGCGTATTTTTCAATGCTAGGTGGTTGAAGAGTACTGGAAAACGGAGTCAGTAGTCTTTAGAGAATTTAAGTTCTCAAATAACAAAGTGTTAACATGTTGGTTCTGTAAGAGGCTAGTCGTTGTTAGCATCAATGTCTTTTATACCGTCATCACAAATTTCTTTCAAAAATACCCATCTCACAGAACAAAACACCCAAAGTGTGTAAATATGTTTGCATTATTAATAAAGTTTGTGTATTTTATTGAAATGAACCTAAGAGTCTTAATGATGAATAGGTCTGATCAGTAATTTATGAAAATTTAAACTAATGATTATCATTTGCATCTTTCATTTATACTGCTTGTTAAGATTGACAGACGGTATTTCACTTAATATTAGAGTGAAGTACACGGAAATCGGATGTAATAAAAAACAATATTCTTTGTATAATGATTATGAATGACTATATTCCTATGGAAATTATTCACTGTTTTCTGGTTATCATAGAATTATCAGAAGGGGTTTTGTGGAGATTTTAATAATTTCAATAGTTGAAATCATGAGTCATTTGAAGCTAGACCACCATGGAAAACCTGGAAGCACTGGACGGCCGTTTCGTCCTAGTATGGGACTCCTCAGCAGTGCACATCCGCGGTCCCACACCCCACGATATTCGAACCCAGGACCTATCAGCCTCGCGCCAGACACTTGACCAACTAGACCACTCAGCCGGCATCCAATGATGTTAATGTCTAACCTCCATGGTGGTCTAGCTTCAATTGACTCATGACTTCAACCAGTGAAATTTCTAAAATCTCCACAAAACCCCTCCTGATAATAATCATCTGCTCACTAGTGACTGACTTCAACAGATACTCTTGGAGTTCTAGTGACAAGCCGCTACCAGTGGAGTTCAACCAGGTTTGTTGTGAGATATCAACTCACCAAAGACAATGGTGTACGGTGGCGCAACTTCGTGGATTAGTTGAAGTTAGACACTGACACCGTTGGATACCGGCTCAGTGGTCTAGTTGGTTAAGCGCCTGGCGCGAGACCGACAGGTCCTGGGTTCGGATCCCCGCGAGGTCGTGGATGAGCACTGCTGAAGAGTCCCATACTGGGACGAAACGGCCATCATAGAATTGTCAAGCATAAAACTTAAATTTAATTTAGACTATAGAAATGGAACTTTTCTCACATTTTAACAGTGTTATTATGTAGAATAAATAATATCCTATATGTCCTCTCGTTACTAAAGTACCATAGGTTTTCGTGACTTGAGAATGTTCACAATCATGATATTTATATTAGTTATGAATAGTTCTTTTTATTTGTAGCTATTTGGATAATGAGTAAATACGCACCTCATTGAATTAAGAGGGTAAACAAAGAAGCTTTTCATGATAGACTTGATAGATTCTTCTTTATTACCTTTTTTAAATTAAGTGATGATCTAGTTAGTTGTAAGCATATTTTTTTGTAATTAAAGTGATCAATCTTTCAGTATGTGCTTTTCTGTTGCATTTGACCTTTTGAGAAACGTTTCTAGTGAGCTTTTTTCATCATGGGTTATCATTAGTTAAGGAATTGTTCATCAAATACTTCTCATTGTTATTCATATTTGCCGTCTTCAATCTCTCTGTATAATTAAATAAAACACCCGTAGAAACTTTATTAGACTCACTAACTGCTGAGTCCCTTGAGTTTATTTCTAATACTTTTCGATGGTATTTATCAAAATAAAGGATTCATGACAGTTTGCATCATATCATTTATTCCAGACTGTGTGGAATGAGTAACCATCTAGTATCAGCTGATCAAATATTATGAAATAAAATGAATACTTTCACCGAATAGATAGTTTATAACTAGTAAAGAAATCTAGGACAAGAGTTTCACCCTAATTGGGACTAATAGCTTGGATCCATCTAAATCCAAGTTTGGATTTTGAAATTGGGACTGGAATAAGGAAAACTTGTTTACTAACTACATAATACATTGATCAAGCCTTTGAATCTTATTTGGAACTTAACGCTAATATAACATTACCCATAAGTGATAACATAATTCACTACTCAAAACCCTAGGCTTAGTTAAATTATTTTATTTATTTCAACTAATGGAAATGGATGTATCTATGACTAAATAACCCTAGAGATTAGATAAGGTGGTTTAAAACAAATTTCTTGTAACTGAGGTTGAATGGGTCATTTTTTCTGTTCAAAATAAAACGGAAGTTAGCTAACAGTTTTAATCAAACACAGATCAAATCTGTAATGTAAAAAGAGTAACATTTTATCAAATATATATACAAAGTAGCATTTACTTAACTGTTATATAGTTATCATGCGGGCTGTTTTCATTAGTAAAGGGGCGTGTTATTTTTCAAAACTGTTGTGAAATTAGTGAAAAAAATATTTCTGACCCAAAATTTCAATTCACTGATTGGTTATTTTCATATTTGAGTCCAGTAGCATAACTGTTCACTTTTGAGAATTTCATTTTAGGAAAGGGGAAGAAGTTGAAAAAAGAGAAGTTGACTAGTAATTTTACTCTGCCCCACTGTATCTTTACTCTTCTACATACACACACACACGCACACACATAAAAGTTGTATATTGTTTAGATACTTAAATTGTCATCATTATTAATCATCTTAGGTGTAGTAGACATTGACGACACGTTCGCATCTTCTCAAAAATGTTTTCATTCTTATTCGTTATTGCTGATTGAAGAATAGGAAACAATTTGTACTGATTAAAAGTTATGAGTATAAATTTAACGGTTCAGTTTAAGCAAAGCAAATAAAGAAACGTTATTACAGTAATAGAAATTGAATAGTCTATCATCTATTCAACGATTATTATTCATTATTTCAATCCACATTATTCTAATCATTCTTTTCTATTTTTGTAATAAGACTTTTTGGAATTGGAATTAAATTTCGCATCAAATTTATCAACATCTTCAAATTATTTTGATATCATGTTGAAAAATTCAATGTCAACCTTAGTACTACCAAATTTTCATTCAACTTCAGAAAATTGTATAAATTTTCGAGATAGTTTGAATGTGGAATCGGTAAGTGTATCTTAGTGAAATTATATTACATTGATAATAATTTGGAAAACTTTGAAAAGATCTCATATATTATTTCATGATGACTTTAACTAATAATTAAGTCAATTAAATTACATATATCTCTAAGTTAGTTTTAATGATTAAGACATTGTACTGAAATCACTAATTGATCTAAGTTCAACAACTAATGAAAACATGGAAACATAGAATGATTGTTAAGTCTTTAGATCGATTTGTCATTTTAGTCAAGTTTAAGAAAAATTTCCACAATTCTATGATGATCACATGAAGTTGTTGTCTGCATCTAACTTCGGAAGGATTTTTAACACTGATAATTTATTGGACAATAAATATTATTTAGTATGGTAATTTAGACTAAAGTTGGTGTTGATATTTTTGATGTGGTTAATTAAGCAACAGTGAAACGCTGAAATACTAATTCTAACATATTTTTAGACTAATGAATTTGGTACTTTACTTTCAGTGTGTTATTTCTAGGTAAAATACGGATTAGAGTATCTTGTTTTTCATTATTAAATTTACTGAAAGATCTATTAATTTTAACTTAATCCATCTTAGTAATCGGTGTTTATGTTCAAATACATGTTATGTAATTGTGTTATAAAAATATAATTTCAGGAAATCCTACTGACTGTGTCCAGAGCATTTCATTGATCTCTATCACTACAATCAATGAATTTTCAGTAGAACTACTGAAATAATATAAATCATGTGAAGTTATTTGTTAATCATAGGACAGTTGTTAACATTTATGGAGTTTCTAAAGAGTTGATCATTTACTAGAAAGTTTATGACTATAAATGGTGAGGAACTGAATTCAACATAAAAATAGATTTATTCAGAAATCATTAAGTAACTGTGTTACAGTATGTGGACTCTATAACTAATTCTTACCATTATTAAAGCTATGTACATGTAGTGAACAGAACATGGGTGGGGACAACCGAATGTATGTAGTACAAAATTACAGAGTTACTCGGTAAAATAGAAACCCATATCGCAAATCGTTAATTTGCAAAATATCAATTCATCATATCGAACCAGACTATTCCAGTTGCCATCACCGATCCATTGTCTCACATTTCCTTGTTCATGCGTTTTCTTACAAATTGCATTGTGTTTGCGCTCTTCCTTTCTTGATCTTCTCCCATCTTCTGCTGCCAGACATTACGTTTTTAACTCGCGTCATATACTACTTATATCAATATAAGTAGCACACACCATAGTACACAATACACTTGGGTAAATCAAAAGTGATATAAATGACTTGTATAAATTTTAGATTTACCATTTCATTAGTATATATTTGACTATATATATGTATATACATTTCATATGCACATCTATTATCTTTTCGATTGAAAACGAACACCAAAGTTTTCATTTGGATGTTAGCTTTTAATAAAAATTTAATTTCAAGTTTTTTTAATATAACTTTTTTATTGTTCCGCACAGAATCTACCAAACTTACCACCTGTATCCAAATGGAATTATGAAGATACCACAACATATATTTCTAATCTTAATTTACAAAATTCTATTCCTAATGTAATTGATAATCATATGATAAGTCATTATCAGACTACACAAAATTTATTAAACTCTAGTAAACAATCTTTACCGTCATCATTATTTCTTCCATCTTATGCAGATAGTGGTTGTTTAAGTTTAAATGATGAAACTAGTATGATTAATGTAAATCATTCTACTTCTACACCTGTACATACAGTAGATAATGATAGTACTACACCTACTTCAAATATTAGTACAACAACAATTAGTCCAATTAATATTGATAGTTTAGATAATATGATGAATGAAACACAAATTATTGTTGTATCACCGAATAATATTCAAACAAATCCAATGACTATGAAAGATTATTGTAAAACAGCAACAACAGTTAATACATCTGCTATTACAATGAATACTAATACTACTTGTACTAATCCAAACAATGATCAATTGGTTGAACAAAAACAATTAAGAATAGTCAATTATTCTGAAGAAAATCAAACACCAATAATGAAACAATCAATGGAAGAATATAAAAGAAATTGTAATATGTTAAATATATCATCGAATATAATTAAAAATAAACAACATGATGAAATGAATCAAGATGAATCCCATTCAGATAGTGAGTTAAATCTAAGTACAGAATCAATTAATCGAAAGAATCGAGCAGAAGTAAAAGTAAGTGATCAGAATACATTGTTGTTTCGTTGTTTTTTTTCTTCTTTAAAAACAATCCAAAACTCCCTGTTATGTCTTTATTCATTTATAATAAAAGTCATATAAATGGACCAATCTTAAAGTTTGAATTCATTTCATTTTAACATATCGTTTAATTCAATTTGATAAAGAGTTATTGAAGAGGATTCTATTATTAATAAACTTACATATAAACATTGCCAAAAAAAGTTCTGAAGTTCTTATCTAACTTATTTAATAAGATCATTGAATGTATAATGACAGTTAATCTTCTTAATTATTATCCTATGTGACTATTTACTTTTAGGTAATTATTTTGTATAACTGAATAGACTAATTTTCAATTTCATTTATTCAACAAAGCTTCAATGAATATCATAAGGGTTTGTTCCATTGAATATATTAAAAAGGTACTTTTATCTACACCTTTCATAAATAAACACTACTTATCTTTATGAGTAACGAAAACACTATGTTGTATAATTTTTAATTATATTATTTCCACTGGTTGAAATCATGAGTCGATTGGAGCTAGACCACCATGGAAAACCTGGAAGCACTGGATGGCCGTTTCGTCCTGGTATGGGACTCCTCAGCAGTGCGCATCGACGATCCCGCCCCCCGCGAGATTTGAACCTAGGACATATCAGTCTCGCGCCAAGTGCTTAACCAACTAGACCACTGAGCCGGCATCAAATGGTGTTAATGTCTAACTTCAACCAATCCACGAAGTTGCGTCACCGTACACCATTGTCTTCAGTGAGTTGATATCTCATAACAGACCTGGTTGTGTAGTCGATCTCATGTGATAAGAATGACAGTTTTTATTTGGGTAAGGGTTATAATGAATTATTTCGGTTGATTGTGTATTAGATCTTATGGAAATGAATGTATGCCATTAAAAATCCCAATATTTCAGAAATCTTTTTATTTGTAACTTAATTATTCAAACTTTTCTAATATCTTTATTGTCTTGTCACATATCCAAATCCTAGTTTGTTTGTTTATGTTGCTATTTTTAACTGACATCATAGATTATTAAAAAACAGTGTTTCAATGTCTGAGGCTTACGTATACTTTTTAAATGTGATAGATTGTTAGATATAAATAAACAATCCACTATTGAATTATTGAAATCAGTAAAACAATTCAATATGTAATAATAATAATAATAATAATAATAATAATAATAATAATAATAATAATTTGTTTTCGCTTTCAGATACAGCCATATGCTCTTCGTGGTAATATTGAAGTATTTCGTTGTCCATTATGTTCAAAAGATGAAATATTTAGTCGTGGACATTTAACAAATCATTTACAAGATCATCAAAGTAATTTTAAACGTGAAGATTATAAACATGTTTGTTGTTTTTGTTTTAGTGAATTAAGTTCAAATAGTTCACTTGAACGTCATTTATTAACTCATACAAGTAAGTTGTACAATTTTATGATTTATAAAATTTGAGGGAAAGAAAACGTTTTTTCTTCTAATTAAAATCACATGGTGTTGTTTTACTTGTAACTTCTCATTGTTATTTATGACTGTAATTGATCAGTCTCATATTGGCATATGTGCATCCTATGCAGATTGCTTCGATATAGCCTTAAGTCACAAGCTTTTCAAGCAAAAATGGATAATGGCTAACAGTGGAACCCATATTTGGGACATATTAGCTGGATGTAACTACATCTCAAAGTTGATGTTCGCCCCGGTGCGAGTCCCAAATAAGTCGAAACGCGCATCCTGGATTCCTCTGCTAACCACTATTCATCTTTGCTTAAAAATTTTTTTCTGATTGTTTTGTAAATAACTTTGTCATTTGTTTAATATTTAATGGAAGAGTAATAAAAACAAAAAGATCTAAGAAGAACTAAATATATGTTTTATTCTAATTTGTAAATTTACATATGTCTTGACTGCCTTTTGTTTATATGAAACTAAATAAGTGAAAATCTCACTTAATTAATCATAAATAGAATGAGATTTTCGAATACATACATCATTGTTGGTTTATGCATTAATTTATTAAGTTAATTAAGGGAATGTTAGTAAAGGTAATTTTAAAAATGCAACTGGAATGAATATTACAGTGAGAGTTGCATATGAACTTATCTCCTTCTTCGAGAAATATAAGGTAAGTCACCTGAACAAAGATGGATAGTGGCTAGCAGTGGAATCCAGGACGCTCTTTTCGTCCTGTTTGGGACTCGTCAGTTGGATGTACCTGCGCCTCAGAGTTTTTGTTCACTCTGGGACTCCAACCCAGTACCGGTTGCTCCAAACGCCATCGTGCTACTGAGTCCTGATAGCCACCTGCTTGTGAAATGGGGTGAAGTTATATTCACAAGAGACTGATCAATTACAATCCTAAGCAATGGAAAGATACAAATAAACAACACCAAGTGAATATAAGTCACATGAAATTAACTCTTCGACTAAAGTTAGGGATTTTTTCAGATGTTTGTAAGGAAAATTAATACATTCATACAATTTATCAGTATAGAGTTATTGAGATTGTTGTGTTTTAATTGAGATCATAAATTCATCGATTTTGAAGTTAGATGTTACCACCGTTGGATGCCGACCCAGTAGTTTAAGGGTTAAGTGTTTTCGCAAGAGACGGAAACTCCTGGTCTTGAATCCCGCGTGCGGGATCGTGCATGTGTACAGCTAGGGGAGTCTTATACTAGATTGTCTTTTCTAAGATTTATTCATTTAGAAATCGGTCAGTAAAACTGGTGAGTTATTGCTATGATTAGAAAATGATGATTTTTTTCGATTCAATATTCAGAATACAAAATGCAATATTTCGGAAGCAGAAACTATAGAGATTATAAATGTCAATGAAACCTGATATATATTTAGTTTTTTTAAATAGCCAGCGTGTAAAACATGATGGAACGGTCATTATATTACTTTCAACTTCATATTGTGTATTATATTGCATTTCTAATTTCTTTTTTACAGATCATCGTCCATTTAATTGTAATTTATGTGATAAAGCATTTACAACTAATGGTAATTTAAGTCGACATGTACGTACATCTCATCAAGCAAAAGCTACAACAATAAATAATTTGACTTCATTCACTTCAACAACAACATCATCATTATCACCAACTATCCAGTCAATAACAAAACAATCAACCTATTTACCCAATTGGTTTCAATCTTCAAATAGTTTACATACTTCACCTATATCAAGTACTTATACTAAATTAAAATCATCATCTATTCAACATACTACTAAAATGAATGAATATCAAGATCATAGTAATATACAAAAATCACCGATAAAACCATCAGATTTAAATAATCATGGAATAAACTCATTAAAAATTTTAAACTTTCATTCAGGTAATGATTTATGTATATCAAAAATGAATTTAATTCAGTCAACTTCTAATTCAGATAATAATAATAATGATAATAAGCAATCTAATATGAATACAAAATCATGTGTAACCAATTTACAGAATGTATCATCCTATTTCAATAAAACATTACAAATAGAACCAATTAAATTTACATCAATCAATTCAGAAGAATATCAAACAGACTATTTACCAAATTTACCACTAAATTATTCGAATAATTTAACAGATTGGTCAACAAATTACATGAAACATGAACAACAGAATGGAGAGGAACATTTTAATAAGTTTACAGAGATTGAAAGTTGGCCATCTTATAAATCAAATACTACATCGTCACTACTTCAAATGTTTACAAATTATTGGTTACAATTAAGTAAAAATTATATCTTAAATAATTCATCTCAGACAAGTTTAGATGCACGAACAGTTATTACTAGTTTATTGCCTTCATTATTGTTGAAAAATAGTACAATCAATAGTACATTTGAATCAAATGATACATTGTCATCAGTTAAAAATAATGAATATGATATCAATGAGAATTTTTCACATTCGGAATCACCAAGAATTACTATACGTGAAATTCCACCATTGATTACAAATGAAATAGAAGAGAATATGGATTATAAATTTTATAAAACATACAATTTTAATCCAACAGATTATGTTATTTCTTCATCTCCTAATACAAATTTTGAGAATGATCAATATCCTCGAAAATCATCAAAATATATTAATAAAACAAATAGGAATATAAGTAGAAAATCACGGATCACAAAATTGTGTACCACAGTAAGTGTTATTTTATTACATCTATTTACATTGACAATGTTTGTATTATAATCACATGTAACTAGCAACTTCATTTCAACATAGTTTATATACTTCAAGATGAAAATGATGCCATTAGAATGTTGACTTCTGGTTCATTTATACATCACAGTAGGAAATATTAGCAAAAAGAATTATTGAAGGGCATAGTAACAAGTGAATTAATCTTTATGAAAACTTTATTCTCGAGTTTATTTGCTTCTGTCCAGTCTCATTGTATGTAATATTAAAATATTTTACACAAAGATAATTTTAATGATACTTTCCTATATTTAGAGACTTAAGCATTGACTACATCAGTTTTTCTCCCGAATAATTTACATAAAACTTGATAAATTGATTGAGATTTTATTATCTGGGGGGGGGGAGAATGGCAGATTACTAAGGTAGTATTTATAACATTGTATTGAAATATATTGACATAGTTATAGTAAAGCACCTTTTAGAAAAAATATATATAAATAGCTATTTGTCAGTATAACGAATGTGTCAATTAGTGACAACAATCAAATTTAGTGGTATATAAGAGTCATAGTTATAAAGATATTTTGGGGATAATTTTCTGCTATATGGGATAGACATTATTATAGTACCATGAAGATTATTATTCTATTAAATGAGTTTATTATTTTTGATAAATTCCATATAGTACTACTTATTTATTAGATGGTTCAATCTGATGATACCTTATATTCTTTTTTTAATTTGACATAGAAAACATTTTCAGTTCGTTATATATTGGCTAAGAAAAAGAAAAGTCTCTCTGTGATAGGGAAGAGAAAAAGGACACGAAAAGTTACAGAAATGAAATTCCAACCATTGAGTAAGTTACAAAATGATTTGGTTTAATGATTAATGTTATTCATTATGATTTGAAAAAGTTTACAGCATAAATACCTCAATGTAACATGGATATTATCAATTTAATCACCATGATATACAATAGTATATAGTAAATTTAAGTTATAGTAACTCTGAGAGAAACAAGTATTATCAGTCATTGATAAGGTTGACTAATTATATGTGAGTTAATAAAACATTAATTATTCTGCTATCAAATTAGATTTTAAACAAGAAATGTAACAGATATGTTTGTCTTACAAAAGATCAAGTTCAACAGTTCTTATTTATAATCAGATAGGGATTTTATGGATATTATAGTAATTTCCATAGTTGAGATCATGAGTCAGTTAAAGCTAGATCACTATGGAAAACTTGGAAGCACTGGACAGCCGTTACGTCCTAGTATGGAACTCCTCAGTAGTTCGTATCCACGATCCTGCCTCGCGAGATTCGAATCAAGGATCTATCAGTCTCTCACGCAAACTCTTAACCTTTAGATCACTGTTTTAAAAATCCCATACAAAATACTGCTCTTCCCCTTCTCAAATCTATAACTAGTGCTTACAGTTAGTTTACTAACTGACAGATTGATTTCGATATACTTTAGAATACTTAAACTCATCAAAATACTCAATAAACGAAAGAAAAACAAGACAAATCAAAGATGAAACTCAATGTTAACAAAGACACAAACAACTTTTGATTAAGTATACTTTATAAATTACATTCATTAACGAATGTTAAACAATATGAGATCAATCTAAACATGTTTAAATAAAGTCCACATTTATTTACCAATAAAACACTATGCCTTATTTTCAAGTAAAGTATATAATTTCAATAAACAAAACAATACAAACATGTTATTTATTGAAGTGATTAAATAAACCATTGAAAATGACCTGTTCTCAATCATATTAGGAAACAAAACACACACACACACATGCAGAACTATTTTATGGCTTTTTAATTTCCACATTTCCGTTTAAGAAAAAAAGAAAAACAAAACAACGGAGCCATTATGAATCAAAATGAAATTTACACATAAACACATCAAGATTTTCACGCACGAATACAGATGCATATGTACGGTTTAGATGTAAAAGTAGTCATTTTTCTTTATTCAATCTTTTTTCTCTCCCATATAATTTGGTTTCTTTTTCTTCTATTTTTTTTGGATTTGGTAGTTGATTGTTTTGTCAAAAATTGTCAAATGTAATTTTAAATGAGAAAAAAACAACAAATAGAATAGTTTGTATTGGAAGTTATGTGTTAGTATAAGTAGACACAGAAACAAAAGTGAATTAAAGTATTTAGACCTTTTGTATCTTATCATTTAGTTAACTTAAATAAGTAACAAGTGATTTTCTGTCAGAGTTGATCATTTTTCTAAGGAATAATAGTTTAAATGGAAGGAGTAATATGTGTTAATGAATTGTTTTTGACAGTGATTCATTCAGTTGGAAGCTACTTGATTTTTAATGGTTATTTATTTAAGAGTAGTGATCTAAAAGTTAAGCAATCATCGTCAGACCTGTGAGTTTCGTGCTCGATCTTGCATGAGGTTATTATTGTGGGATGGTGGAGAAGATTTGTAGCTCAGAGGAATGATTTTGATGGAGCTTTGTTCTCTGAGCTGGATGGTTTGGTCGTGGAGCTTTCATCGTTCTTCTGAACGACATCATGAGAACAAACTTCAGATAGAAGTGAAGTGTGGTGATGATGTCGTTCAGAAGAACGATGAAAGCTCCGCGACCAAACCATCCAGCTCATAGAACAAAACCCAATCAAAAATTTATGGTTGTACAATCTTAAGGATTCTTATACTAGGGAAAAACGCATATCCAAAGTTTTCTGGTTTTAAGGGTTGTTTAACTAAGATCGGTTCGTGATATGGACTATGAAATTAAATGGAAGTTTATTGAGAACTGGAAGAAAAAAGTTAGTTATCGCTTTAGACTGTTAAAACGTATTTTCATAATGTAGTTGTCAACTTGTATTTAGACATTTAGTTATTCCTTATTTTAAAGACCATAACTGCATAAGCTGTCAAAACAAACAGCTTCATAGTTCGACTTCAATTAGCTTAAATGATAACCCAAAATCTCCTGTCTAGATGTAGGAAATAAGATATATTTTCCTACTAATACAGACTTAAATCCTAATCTGAAACTAAACTTTTTTGTAAATCAAATCTATTTTTATTGAGACATTAGTTGTTTATCTCATTACAAAAGACCACCTTTTAAGTAATATTTATGTACATGTATTTTCACTCTACAGGCCCTTTACAATGTGATTTTAAACAGAATAAATCATACAATTTAAAACAAAATGAATTAACTGAAAATCAGTTTTCCCCATATAGGTAAGTTTGTTTCTGTCAAAACATTTGAAAAATATGATAAATTGAATTACAACATATATGTAGATAGAGTTAAGACTAAATTATGACATGGTTGCACAATTTCTGTCATCGCATAGAATAGTACTGATATTTAATGGTTAGTGTTATAACTTGTCGTTTGAATGCTTATTGTCTTGGCTCTTTTAAAGCTACTTTTTGTATCTGGTCGTCACTGATTGTTATGTCGGAAACGCTTATCACTTTTACTCGGAACGAGGGACGTCTGCAATTCTCATAACGCGAAAGTAAGAACACAAAGACTGGTATAAGTGAAGATTTATTAACCCCAAAACACTATGACGACGACTCTAGTAGAAAATAAATTCACTTATATATTGATTGTACACCCATTTTGATTAATAATTAGGATGAAATCACATGTATGAAAAATGCTTAGAGTTATAACAAATCACATACTGAGCATAGTTCATGTCAAGTGAATGCAAGAATATCGTATGTTATATAGAATAAAATGTCATACCGGAAAACAAAACAAATACTACATTGCGTAATCATCACATTGGATCAAAACGGAAATAATCTTGAATAAAGCTCATAATGAGTAAATCAATCGAAAATTGACTTTTCTTTCCATCATATCAGTTAGCAATTTAGAATACTTATGATACAGAGAATAGATTTTTTACATGTGCCTTGACAATTACTAGTAGTTTCTGTATGATTATAAATCAGTTATTGTTAGTTGAATAGCTTCCTTTAAAAGTGTTAACATTAATTTTAGTACTGCAAAATTAGTTTGCTTACTCCTCAACCCTTTAATTTGTTTAGTATGTTAATCGTGTTTTGTGTTGAAATAAATGATATCGATAATGTTTCAGTTTCCACTGCGCACCTTTCATTCTGAAATCTTTATGAAATGGCTATTCGCTATTTAATATTGCATGATATTAAATCCAAACCATCAAACTTCTCACTTAATAAATTATGGATAATTGTTTACTGTAATCAATCTTAGTAAAATAGCACTTTTTGAGTTCACGTGGATGCGATCTATTATAAAGATGGATTTTGTCATTATTTAATCTCATCCAGTATAGCCACTGAAAAGTTATGGGACTCCTAGCACCACATGTTCATGACTCTAATTGGGATTAAACTTGAGACATTCATGTTTCATACAAAACACGTTACTTTAAGACCAATTAGTCAGTGTATAGCGATCCAAATTAACAATTTTCATCAGTGTTTTGCAATATTTCCAACCTTATTTACATCATCATTATCTATTTTCAATGTATTGTTTGGTTTTAGGTCACAAAGTTTACAAAACCAATATATTTTATCAAATACTGATTATGTGTGTTCACCGAACAATTTATCCAATACATCTAGTAGACGTTCACCTATTCAATGTAATTACAATGATAATTATTTAACAGATATAACTGAATTAAATTATACCCAGTCATTAGAATCTAACTCTGACGAAGTGCTTGACCTTTCTTTACACAAGAGAAAACTAGATACCTTGGAAGGAAGTTATACACTTTCACACGAAGTTCATACACCTGGTAGATCTAATATTCCATGGATGAAAAAACCTGATATTAGTTTAAAACCCCCAGTTTTTACACCAATCAACACATCTGACACTTTGTGTTCTTCGTATACAAATACTAACATGTTAGCTCAATCTGAAGCGGACATAAAACTTTCTAATCAGGAGTTTAATTTAAACAATATTCTACATGATATCTATAGTCTACCAATTATGCAACATATGAAGACATTGCCAACTCCAATTAATAATGAATTTAAAAGAGATACAACTACTGGTACTACCATCTCTAACAATAATCCATTGAATATTCTGCCATTACCAGCCAATACATCAAATATTAATAAAATGTTTCCAGTTCATTCAACTATCCCAACAACACTGATTCAAAAAAAGAATTCATATAAAGATGCGCCTAAATTAATCACTTGTCCTATAGCTGGTTGTCAACAAAAGTTTCCATGGAACAGTTCATTAAAACGACATATTTTAACACATACTCGTAAGTTGTATTGTTTTCTAAGCGTTGTTGATGATATTGATGACTTGTACAAGATATCAAAATGATCTTTTATCATCATATTGAAATGATATTTAGCACCTTCATTCTTAGAGTCGATCAAAACACATCGATTTCTTCGTGGATAATATGTAGAGCAAATTTTACCAGTGATTATTACTTAATTATCTCTATATTTGAGTGAGAAACATTTGACTTCACCTTAACATATATTAATGATAGCTATTCTATAAATCTAAGAGATAATGGATGGTCATTAATCAAATAACATTTGATTCTGGCACATAAAATTAATTAAGTAACAAATTATTACTAGTGGATGAATTGCTAGATAAGTTGAATGAATTTTTTATGTGCATAATATGATTCTAACAGAAATTTGACAGACGGTTGATTTTAAGTGTGATTTTAGTCTAAACTGAAAACTACTTTTCATTAACTCGGTTTTCAAAGCTTCCGAATCATTTAATGGTACTGCTTGTGAATTACATTTATAAGTGGCTGGCATGAATGTCTTATTGTGGATTCGATTAATCATGTTCAGTATTGATAATTTCTTTAATATCAACTTATATCCCATCAAAATGTAGGTTTTTATAATTACTCGATAGCTTAATAAGTATCATTCTGAAATTCGTATGGTTTACAACTAGAATTCGGTTTCAGTAAGAAGACCACTAAGCATTCACTTACATGTATACCATTTCAAAAGCTTCTAAGTTTTAGGAACCATACCACGAATTTCACCGTTATCCGCTGGTAGACTATTCAAAGATATGTCTTTTTATGTCATAACGGATCAAGCAAATTAACTGTTATAAAGTTCAATCCTTAATAAATGCTACTGATAATATGGTTCGAATATAATCTTTCGCAAATAAATATGTGCTAATGTTAAATTTGGATAGCAACATAATTCAGTGATTGAAATCTTTACCGTACCTCAGCAATCTGATATTGTTTGATTGAAATTAAGTTATCGTTAATTATTCAGAACCATATACTTCTTTTTAAAAAACAATAAGCGAAAGTACCAAGTCATGAAACTATAGCGACTGACGTGCAAATGAGTTTAGTCTCATCTAACGCAGTTAAGCCCTTTTGCTAACTCATTTAGCGGACAAAGTCATCCGCACTATAACAACTTATTGTATCCTTATTATTTTGTGCTTGTATGAAATACATATGCTTGAACATTGTTTAGCGCCTACGCATGTATTCATTCTGCTAGCTTCATTATTAACTGCTTAATCTATTCGCTGACTCATCCATTTTCCTATATATACATTTGCACCCATTCACTACTACTGCTACTGCTACAATCGTAGTTCACTTGCTCATTCATTTTGCCTCTCTGCTGTCTGGTCCGAATTATCTGCTAAATAAACTGTAGTAGCTGCTTCTTTTTGCCTTCTGATCTCAAACACCGTTGAAGATAATACGATAACGGTTCGGGGGTGATTAGTTATCGAAGCACAGCCACTACAAAACTAGTATTTTTTTTATCTCAGCAGTCAACGAGTTCATTTTCACTTTGAGCAACAATGAACGTCAAGCAAGTCAAATTATAAATAAAACGTGTTTTATACTGTTAAAATTTACCTTCAACTGTTAATTTTTTTTCTTTAGCTCATAAACCATTTGCCTGTACAAGATGTACAAAATCATTTTCAACCAAATCAAATCGTGAACGTCACATGGAACGTGTGCATCGAGTTAGTTTAAAACGACAACGTCAACGTTTTCATCAGTCAAATATGAGTATACAAAGTCCTTCTAGTGGTGATAATCGTTCTGAGTTAAGTGGTCATAATTCTAATCTAAATTCTATTAGTCGAACTAATATTGGAGATAATGATCAGGAACTTGACAATATTGAAGAACTGAGAGAAGATGAAATAATATCCATGAATTCAAATGAAAAGCAGGCGGAAGATATCAGTAATAGTCTGTTGATACGAGCTGGAGATCCAGTAGTGGAACCCAATCCTGAGAGATTATATAACGCTGCACTACTTGCAGTGGCGAATTCTACAAGAAGTGGTCTAACAAACTATTTAAATGACACTTCTTCGAACTGTATAAAAGATATTCCTCAAAGTATGTTGCCTACTGTTCCAGTCCGATTAGGAAGGACGGGAAGGGTTGGCAGGCGTCCTAGGCGCGGCAGCATACTGAATATGAGGAGCAATGTTCTGGATAACGACGATCAAATGACTTTTCGTACAATTCCTCAAACAAGTAATGCTAATAGTTCTATGCATGATGATGTTGCAGAACCACCAGTGGATTTATCGATGCATTCAGCGTCAAAAAATGCATCTTCAACACTTTCTTGTCCAGTATGTTCAGTACCAGTTGCAAGTAGGTGTTTTCGCCGTCATCTTACACTACATCAACTAGACAATCCAGTTTTTCGATGTCATTTGTGTCAGCTTACATTCCAAGATCAAGTTTCAACTTTAACTCATTGGGCTATGGAGCACTCAAACGAGTGGGCTAAATTTGTTAAAAAACTAAGCTCAAGTGAAAGGTCAGCTGATGTTTTAACGCAAATCCAGCTAACTTTGAGTAAAAATAATCAGACAAAAGCTGAGTTAGAGGAAGACAATGAAACTAACAAAAACTTACCAGAATCAAAAGATCCAATTAATTACTCCTTAAAAACAACCACTTACGATATGCGCTATGTGTCATGTTGTGTTTGTCTTCATCGCTTTGGTAGTCAACAAGATTTGCAAAGGCATATGAGATCCCATACTGGTGAGCGGCCTTTTGTTTGTCCACATTGTGGGAAAGAATTTTCTTTGAAACACAGCATGCATAGACATGCTCGTGTTCATATTAAAGAGAATGTTCGAATAAATGCTTCCAAAAACGCCTCCCTACCTGCAAACAATCATTCATGTCCTACTTTTAAATCGGAGGAGATTAGCTGAGCAATTTTTTGGGTTATCTTTTCTGTATTTCACTAATCAAGCGCCACACTTTGAAGTATTTTCAAAGTTTACATCTTTAAAATATTCGTTTCAAATGTAATTTTCCAGTTTCCGTTTCCATGCTTCATTAAATTCATCGGGAAATTTCTTTGGTGCTTATGGTTACAAATTTTATTGTAAATTGACCTAGTGTTATCATCAAAAATTTACTGCATCTTAACGGAATTCTTTTTACACTTATGTTACGGTGAAGGTTAAAAATGCATTTTTGAAAACGATCAAACGCTCTAAAACTTTTACTTACACTCTGGATCTGGCCATCATATCATTTTATTTTACCCCCTCGCAAGTATTTCGATGTTTCTCTTTGAACTGTCTTATCTAATTTAAAAAATATAAAATTGTACCATCTCCATTGACCTTCGTGATAATGTAGTATTATTCGTTAAGCTACTCATAAGTAGCAAAATTGATTTGGCTGTTTTTAAACTTTACGAGATTATTTAGTTAATCTGGTCAGTTGGAAAGGATTAGTTGATTTCAGGTTTGGTGTTTATTTAGGCTTTATGATTTTTATCAATGTGTGTTTCGTGGACAATTTAGGGAATAATATGAAATTAAATCTAAGACATCAGTAAAATAATAATGATTTCATTCAAAAAGCTTCAGAACTGTAACCAATGTGTATCCACCCATTCTTTCCAATATAAAATGAATTATTCATTACAAATTATACAACCAGAATTAAGCAGGTCATATTAGCTAATTATTACCGAGTGGTAAGTAATAAATTTGTTTTCTAGGGAACACAACTTGTCATTCAGTTTGGGGGCATGCAGAATATAAGCAGAAATAAAGCTTATAGCCAGAAAATGAGATAATCTAGAGGCGATATATATAATCTAGGTTTAATCAGTTAGAATATCCAGTTTTCTTCTCCAAACTGAATTACGACAGTACAGAGTTACACTCAAAGATTTTAGTTTGTGACCGTCCCTGTTACAACCTGATCACTTTTGAAGTAGCATGGGAAGATTCCTGTCAATGGTACTAGGATCATAGTAATAGATCAGTAGCACTAATTCGATACATTTCATTATTTTATGAATTGAATCTGATCAAAACCAAAACCTCCAATAGGTCATGTATTTACAAATATTTAGTATCAGAATTAACCCGACTGAGATAATGCTTTCACACAACTTGTAACTATAAATGATTAAAACAAAATACAGGTCTAAAATATAAGTTAATGTTATCATAATATATCTCACTTCTCGTTTAGGATAAACGGGTATTCTTTTACAGAGGAAGTACTGTGATGCTAGTATGGCTTAACATTTCCTAGAAATGAGTCTGTTCAGATATGTAGCTATAAAACTAAACAAACATCTGAGTACATCCTAGTTATATGTTTCGCAATGTCGAAAGATTTTCGTTTCAGGTCATCAGATGAACTGTCTTCAGTAAATCTATATTTTTCCAATAGTTAGGAATTGAAAATTATGATTTAGACCAGAGGTTATAAAACTTCCTACAAAACACTGCTTGAATTTAGATACTATGCCACGTTGTTGTCACATACAAAATCCGAAGATGGTTTTAGTTATGATATTGACTAGGGACATTTAATGATGAAATTGACGCTTACTTGTTGGGGACAGTGACTGATCATTGATTTAGACCAGAGGTTATAAAACTTCCTACAAAACACTGCTTGAATTTAGATACTATGCCACGTTGTTGTCACATACAAAATCCGAAGATGGTTTTAGTTATGATATTGACTAGGGACATTTAATGATGAAATTGACGCTTACTTGTTGGGGACAGTGACTGATCATTGAGTAAAAACCAGTCTTGTGGTTGTCTAATCTTCAGAACTGGTTGAATTTTATTGATCAAATCGCTCCCAGTTTGTGAGACTCATGATTGCGTACAGTATGTTGACTTAGTGCAAATATCATAGTTTCTTCTAATATCAGTTAAAGGATGATTAGTTAATGAAAAACGTCAGTGACTATGACAATGTATGGTACGTGTGAATCATACGAGAAGCATCATTTTCATTAAGAGTGAAGATATCGAGTAGTCAAGGATTCCAAGTACCACTAAACCTAGATTCAGAGCTTTTTACCAAACGACTACCATATATATCTAAAACGATTCAATGTCATGTATTCTATTACAATAGTAAAAAGTGACACATACTGATAAATATCAATCAACCTATCTATTTTAGCATTGAAATGAATAAAAATCAATAATTGCTCAATTCAGTAGAGATCTATATGGTCAGTATGCAAGTGAAACAAAAGAAGTTACATCATATAAACTACAAATCAACAAGAATTATCATAAAAAGATTTCTGCATGTTAAACAGAATAATAAACAGTAACGAGAGAGAAGGTAGATCTTTAGTGATGATGATACAAGAAGCTCATCCAGTTATATATATATATTCTTGTTGTATAATTACTGAGTAACTAAATTATATATGTTTATATTTTTCCATTATAAGCTTTCACTTGACCTATCGGCAAACCTTATATGATATACTGTTCTTAGGTTATTCCCAATTTATTAGTTACAGTCTCTCACACTCACAGCCACTTATGGCTTGATACCATATAATTGTTATTTTTTATTTTATCGTATGATGAGGTCCGATTCGCTTGCATATAAACTGCGTATATTCGAAGCACATGATTCATACAATGTAAGCTGGGTAGGGCTAAGCGAGAAGAACCAATAAGGACTCAGAGTTGACTCTAGGTTGATCGCGTTGGTTAACGTGTCATTAATTTGGCACGGTGTCAAGGTCGTATAGGTCGGTGTTCTTATTGGCCTTCTTGTCATGTGATAATCGACAAGGCAAAAAGACATAACAATTCCGAAAACAATCTTTGTAGTGTTGTGTAGAACTGGTCTAGGAAGAATAGTTAGATTTATTGAATCGTTAGTCGTAAGAAAATTCCAAGTTACTTTGTTTAAGCAGAAGTATTTTGTACTTATATTAAGTTTACCTTGGTAATGTTGATTCAGTTTGTAACATCAAAGAGTGTGAGTGATATTTCACTTTGTTAACTTATTCAATTCATACTTATATAGAAGTTTTACTATTGACTGTTGAAGGAATTTAAGGTTTGTATCTGTGAGATGATAAAGTTAAATTATTTCAAGACATTTTGAACATTAGAGACTTATTTAAAAATACAAATTATACTTGAATGAAACTAAAGTTCACAGAGAAATTAAGTAAATATCATTTCATTTTCTAATTAAATCTCATTCCAACAAATAAATAAATCATCTAGAAGTTGAGACAGTGTTGCATGTACAATTGAACAAGCTTTATTCTTCCATAATCTTGAATTCGGTGAAATAGTTTTGATGAATTCAATTAATTCATTTGATTCTTGAATATCGTCTGGTAAAATTTGTTGATCAGTTAGTTGGGATTTATCATCACTTTCTATTAGGACTTCATCCAATGGTTTGGTTTGTGTAAGATTCTATAGAAAAAAAAGGGGTTTAAGAAGATTAATGGATATTTTAATTGAAGAGCATTGAAACAAGTAGGTATCTATCAATTAAAAAAAATATTTTAAAATTACTGGAAATATTTAATATACGTTTTAAATACTTCGTTTTGTTTAAATGAATGTTAAAAGTAACGGTACATGATATTACTTGAAAATACTTAGATTCGCAAAATACATTGATATGACTGTGAAGAATTAACCTTGAGAGTTAGGTCTTAATACATGACGAAAAAGTCCCATCATATAATCGTCTATTGGATAAGTGACATTTTATCGTGCCTTTTAGTAAACCTAACACTTCATATGGACGTATCTCACTTTAATAGAGAAACGGTTCTGTTAATTTTTAATATGTATTTATTTGGAGGCCTACCAGAATAATTAGGTTTCATGAGCATTTATTGGTTGATCAGATTGTATCGTTACAAATCACTTATTGATTAGCATTCTATTCAACATTTTAAAAATTTCAGGACGTTCATAATCATAACGCATTCACAATTATCCAGCAGTCAGTCAGTCATTCAAAATTAACATTGAATCTGTGACAACTGTGTGTCATTCCAAGTTGCCCTTACCACATGAGCAAGACAAGATTAAATTAATAAAATAAATGACAAAAGAGTTAAAATAACAGTATCACAAAATATTGTAAGAAAGACTGCTGTTAGAGGATACCGTTTGATAGGAAGGAAGGAATTCAAGAAATAAAATATCCAAAATAATGTTAAGATCTAAGAGAGTATAGGGAGTGAATGGATCTAAAAATAGAATCGCCGACAACATATTGTGGCTATTAGGTTGACCCTGACCAGATAGTCTGCACTAGCCAACACAAGTTAATTCAATGTGCATTTACCAATTTACCTGCTCTTGTGGAGCTAGGTATATAGGTCGTTCGATGCGTACTTTATCCAAAAGAATCCAAGAACATTATCCGGCGTGGCTAAGAAGAGGAGGCAGCGGCTCAATAAGAAGTTCTATAATCGAACACCTTGTGAACACAGGTCACTCAATCAAGACAGACTCTGCGTTCAAAGTCATCTACAAGGTAAGTAGAAGCCTTCTTAAGACAATTAGACTACATCTTCTTTGCATTGCCGAGGCAATAGCCATACATTTTGAAAAACCAGAATTATGTGTACAAAAGAGACTGGTACAGCCTCTTCTTTTACCATGGTCTTAATGTATTAAACTTTTTCTCTTTCGCATTACTCTTGTTCTTTTACAGCCACCTGCTTCACTTTCCATCTTCCCTTCAAATCTTGTACCCCCAACCGGTTTGTTTTTATTTCAACGATCATTCCGATTACATTTCATCTCTGTTTCAACATTTTATGTTATTTTATCATGCTGAGCTACTCTTACCCGATGAATATCTAAGCCATTAACTATTAAACTTTCCTTGTTTTTTAAAAAAAATTTTTTCTAATACCTTTGTTTATTTAACCTCACTGTCACCATGTATATCATAAGTTTATTATCAGTATTATTATCACCCTGTAAAAATAAGTATATATATTTGCGATTGTACAGCTTTGAAAATGAATTCGCCGAAAAGAGAACTCTTCGCTGAACTAATCTTTCTTTCTTACAAGTTAATCTAACAGTCTATGATCCCAAGTTCGACCAATGGCTATTTTAGTAGAGTACATGTACCTGTTCTGTGTCGCTAGGTTAACTAAGAAAAATATTTATTCAAAGAAAAATCTATGTTAAAAATGAAACAATCATTCAAACCATATCAATGTCATTATTAATTGTTGTGTTGTCTTCTTTCTTTCGGACAGCCATTGGCAATGAGTACCATACAGTAAAAAATCTAAGTTCAAGGCTTCTTGTTGATTGCTTTCAACCAGTTAATATCAA